TAGTGTGTCCATCTGCCATTTCTAAGGCGTCCAACGTGGTGCTTGGTTAGCTGTGGCATCATGGGTATAGTGACCTAGAGTCAGTCACTGGGTATGTATTCATGGGTTTAGTGACTGAATTCAGGTTCACCCTCTCTCTTAGCCTTTTGACCTTGGGCAAGTCATGCCGCCTCTTTGAGCCTCAGTTTCTCCATCCATAAAGGCCTCTCTCTATTCTTCAAAGAGCTGCTGTGAAGGTTAAAAGAGATAATAGCAACGGAAATACCCTTGACCCTTGAACAACACGCATTTGGACTGCATGGATCCACTTATACGTGGATTTCTCTGTTGATAAATACAGTCCAGTTCTGTAAATGTATTTTCTCTTCCTTATGATTTTCTTAACATTTTCTTTTCCCTAGCTTATTTTATTATTATAAGAAAACAGTGTAGATGGGGTGCCTGGGTGGCTCAGTCGTTAAGGGTCTGCCTTCGGCTCAGGTCATGATCCCAGGGTCCTGGGATCGAGCCCCACATCAGGTTCCCTGCTCAGTGGGAAGCCTGCTTCTCCCTCTCCCTCTGCTGCTCCCCCTGCTTGTGTTCCCTCTCTCTCTCTCTCTCTCTCTCGCTGTGTCTCTCTCTGTCAAATAAACAAATAAAATTTAAAAAAAAAAGAAAACAGTATAGAATACATATAACATACAAAATATGCATTAATCAACTGTTTATGTTATTGGTCAACAGTAGGCTATCAGGATTACATTTCTGGGGGGTGAAAAGTTATATGCAGAGATTTTGACTTCATAGGGGGGCGGGGCTACCCCACCCCCACCCCCGGCATTGTTCAAGGGTTAACTACACTTCGGAGTCTACACAGTACAGTACTGTTGTGGAATGAGATTATTTTCATTGGGTTTGTGCAGGTTTCTGGGGAGGGTTCTTATCAAACAGGCTCCTCGACTACAAGTGTTCCGACCACTCATATTTTCAGATTAAGAGAAATTGTTACCAAGAAAATCATAAAATCTCCAATATGTATATCACAGCACCCAAAGCTTTGCCTTGGGCCTTTGGTCTCTTGCAGACCCTGAGGGAACAGCTCCTGGGGTTGGGATATTGCATGCTTCTGCCATTGCACTTAGATGCCCTTGGGCTACTGTGCTGGTGTCAGAGCTCATCAATCACGCTCTGGCGGTGTCTGTACTATTCTCTTTGTCTCTACCCTCTTCCTGGGACAGGGGATTCATCTCCTTGCTATTCAGCCACACCTCCAGGCTCCTGACCCCCCAGATCTGTATGTGCAAGTTGTGTCTCTCTTGGTGTCATAGGCTAGCATCCCCAGTTGCCTATGAGACAGTGTCTCCTGGGAACCCCATGGATACTGACAACCCAACATGTCCAAAACCAAACCTGTGCTCAGTCCCTGCCTCCTGACTTTCCCCCATACGATTCCTATCCAGATCTTTCTCATGTGCCCCCTTTCTTCCCTCGCATTGCTTTGGTTCCGGTCCTCCCCATCTCTTGCTGGACCCTTGTCCTAGCTTCCTAGTTGGCCTTCCTGCCTCCTGTCTCTTCTCTTTCTAAACTGTGGTCCACACCAGCTGCCAGGCAGGGCTCTGAAGATGGTACTCTCTCCCACTCGTAAATCTTAAATGCTCCCTGCACTTGAGGTCTTCTGAGATCGAGGCCCGGGTCACCTGTCCATCTTTACCTCCTGCCAGCCCCTCGGTGCATGACGTCCCAGTATTTTCAACCGGAGCCAATGACTTTAAGTTCACCACGTGACATGCGCCCACCCACTTCTGCCTTTCACAAGTGTTGTCTCCACTGCCTGGAAGCCGCACCCCTTCCTCGTCTGCTCAGCTAGCTTCTACTTGTTCTTCAAGTCTGGGCGTAAGCCTCACCTCCTCTCTGAAGCTTTTCTTGACTCCTCCAGACAGAACTGGTGGTTCCTACAGCAATCTGTACATACATCTTTTACGCCTTTTATGGAAATTGTTTACATATCCCTTTCTCACACCAGATTGTGGTCTTCTTGGGCAAGATGTGTTTATAATTCATCTTTGTGTGACCACTTCTTAGAACAATGCTAGAAACATGGTAGACTCTCTGAGGACATTTGAAAAAGCTTATAAGTGACTTAATATCACACCCATTTTTACAGTAGCTAACAGAGAGCATGACTAGAACCAGGTCAGTGTGAGAGGAGGAGTTAAGTCTAGAACCATGAATCCAATATAGATGCCACTTGTGATGTGTGGCTGTTGAGTGCTTGAAATGTGACTAGTCTGAAACAGAATATACTGTTAAGTGTAAAATACTTAAAATTTCCAAGACTTAGTATAAAAAAGTAAAATATCTCAATATCTTTGACATTGATGACTTGTTGCAACAATAATCTTTTAGACATATGGCTTAAATAGAATATATCATGAAAATTAATTTCACCTGTGTCCTTTTACTTTTGTAATGTGGCTACTGAAAAATTTAAGATCACAGGGGCAGCCAGCTGGCTCAGTCGGTAGAGCGTGTGACTCTTGATCTCGGGGTCTTAAGTTCGAGCCTCATGTTGAGTGTAGAGTTTACCTAAAAAAAAAGAATAATTAAGATTACACATGTGGCTCACATTAGATTTCCATTGGACAATGATGACCTGAGCATTCATTCACTGAACAAAGATTTCTTGAGCACCTCCTCTGCTAATAGAAATGATGGGAATAGAATTATAAACAAGATGGGTAAGTTCCTGACCTCGAGGAGCTTACATCATAACGGAGAGAGAGACGCAGAGACGCAGAACAGAAAGCAGACATGTAAGCAAGATAGTCTTGGATAGTATAAGTGCTGTGAAGAAGGCAAGGCTTGATGGACAGGGTGAGGGAGGCCCAGGAGGGTGGTCAGGTGAGGTCTTCTAGGGTTGGTGGGATCAGAACCAGAGAGATGAGGGAGGGGGTAGGACATGGGAGACGGTACAGACCTGAACAGACAGTGGGGGTGCAGACTTGAGAAGTATTTGGGAAGGAACATGGGGAGCACTACTGTAACCAGAGGAATTGGGGATTGGCCAGAACTGAGGTGGATTCCCAGGTCTCTGGGTTGGACAGTCAGGTGAGTGCTGGTGCCACCAGATGAGAGAAAGCTGGCATGGTCTCGTGGCAGATGAGGAAGTCCATTTGGGCCACGTTGACTGTGAGGTGTGTGTGGGATGCCCATGTGGCAGCGCGGAGGGGAGAGGCCAGCGCGAGGGACCGTAATTTGGGACCTCTCAGCATAAGCACGGGCATTAAAAGGGAGCGTGGACGAGAAAGGAGAGAGAAGGTGGCACACGGAGAGGAGCCTGTGGCCCAGGGAGCACGTTTCTACATCAGAACATAGTTGTGAGTGTGCCTAGGTTGAGGGGAAGGACACAGGGCAGCCAGAGGGGTTCAAGATAAGAGAGAGAAGGCAAAACTCATGCAGCCGGGTTTGGGTGGTGATGGAGGGGCTGGCCTGGCCTCAGGGATGGGCTGGGAGGAGAGAAAGAGGGTCAGAGGAGGTCTTTGTTGTCTGGAGGAAGAGTTCAAGGAGAGTGATGAAGACTAGGAGTAGTTGCGGAAGAGGGTGACATCCAGGTCAGAGGTTAAGGACATCGTTTGGGAAAACTTTGGCTGTGTCACAATTTGGGCCAAGGTTTTATCATTATGTCCTCAGAGTTAGACATAAGCCTCCCGGAAGCACCCAGATGGGGGATTAGGAGAGCTGGCTTGGGAAAAGTGGAGTGGTCCCAGAGCAGGTAGGTCACAGCCTCCGTGTGGCTCGTTTTCCTCATCTCTAAAACGAGCCGAATGATGTCGTCAGCTCCCAGGCAGGTGAAGGCTTAGTACACTAAGTACATCTCACCTCTCTGGGTTGCTAGGGCCGAGGGCCGCTCTGTCTGAAACTCACTGTCCTTCCCTTTCCAGGACAGTAGACCGATCCAGGCTCAGCCCCAGGGGGCTTTCTGAGACCTCGCCCCCAGCATGGTCAAGCCCCTCTTCTCTATAACCAGTGGGCGTCCGTCTGACGGTGGTCCGAGCGCAGAGTGCTTGCCTTCCAGTCCTTGTTCCCTGTGTAGGGCCCCGTGCCTCCTGTCCCGCAGTAACCTGGCCTCCAGGGACGCTACCTGGAATAGAAATGAATGGCGCTCTGGTCTCTTAAATCATAGCATTTCTCCCAGGGTCAGTTTCCATCCCCCAAAATGGGAATTGCAGGAGACAGCAGTGTGCCGAGCAGCGCAGGGTGAGCAATTCATGCACACCAGCTCGGCTAATCCCACCACACACTGCCGTGCGTTATCCCCATTTGACACAAGGGAAAAGACCGAAGAGTTAAGTAACTTGACCAAGGTCAGCAAGCGAGTGAGCCGCCAGGGTTTGAACCGGGTTCTCTGCACCGAGTTGTGCTGGCTGGCTGCCCGCTGTTGGCTGCTCTCGGAGAAGATCCAAGGTTTCGGGATCATTTGTCCCTCCCTGTCCCCAGGCCTAGGGCTCCCCACGTGGATGATCTCGCGGGGCCCTTCCCGCTCCACCGCCCCCCCCCCCCCCCCCCC